AGACTTTGTGAGTTGCGTGCAACTTGGAACTTCAGCAGCCTGTTGACGTGTCCAACATTTCAATGAGTGTTGCAAGCGTTTGGCGCAAACAACACCAGTGAACATGCGCAGAGTGTGCCTCCAGAATGTAAGAGTGATCCACATGTAGGCAAAAGGTGCTTTGCTTCGCGAATTCATTCCAGTGTAGCTTTGCAGAAAGGAAAACAAACAAGCGCATGTCAAAAAGAGCAAAGAAAGCGAAGAATGAAGAACAAGGCATCAGCGGACCCACAGAGTTGTTGCGTTATTACTTTCCCCGAAAAACGCATCATCATGTGTTTCAAGGCTTCAGCAGGTGACAGCCTTAGTTTCATATGACACGCTGCATTCATGCTCTGGCCTCCCTTGCGCAGTTTGAGGCGAGTGCTTATGGAGAATCACAGGCCGAGATGTCACGAAGCGGGACCGGCGTACTAGGCGTACTGCCACTACTGCAATTCCTTAAGTCCGGACAGTCTTATTTATACGCAGGCTAGCTAGCAAAAAATGCAGTTAATAGTGAGAGAAAACTGGGCCTGGCCCCACAAATCTGCTAGGCCATGGTGACGCAACTCTCATCCGACAGTTTCAGCCAGGATTTGATTTGAGGTTTGAAGCCCAGTTCCAGAACAGGGAGACATGATGAGAAAGGATGAAGAGTTATGAGTTATTCCCTCATTCCCCGCCCGAAAGGATCGTTTTTATTCAGGAGAGAACCCACCCTACCGTGACCTCTGTGCTGCAGGGCATCAGAGCCTGGCCGTTCTGACTAGAAGAAAGACAACGGACAAGAAACTATGACACTGACAGCGCAGAATTTAATACACGCACCCACACACAGCACGCACACACACGCCGCCACAACCAAACAAAAGCAGAACAAGTTCTGCCAGCCAAAACCCAAATGCCCGACCCCACCTGGCCAGCGGCGCGAGCCAGATGCCCGACGCGACATTGACACACCACATGGCAACGCGGACCATAACCACAACACACACAGTCACAGGGCTTGCAGTTTCTATAACCCACCGTGAAATGGATGTGGGAACGGAAAGGCGCAAAATCGGCTCATGTGAAGTGTTCAATGTTGCGCGTGACTGCGGAAAGCTGCGGTGGCATCGCGGCAAACGCGGCGGAGGGAAATGTTTTGGGGTGGTTCATGAAACAACCATGGAAGCACACCACAGCGCGGGAAAAAGTGGAGTCATATCACCCGCAGGTACGTGAGTCAAGCGTCCTTGACTCATATCACAGGAAACGCGCAGCGTCTTCGTTGGTCGCTGACTGCACGAATCCCCAGCGACCCCCTGCATTTTTGAATTTTGCGCACGCAAAAAACAGGGGGAGACGCGCGAGCGGGACGGCTGCTTGTTTGGTTGAATTTGATAGTCAGCATTGTTCTTTGTTGCCCGAAAGACCCGGAGTAACAGCGGTCAGATTGACATGTCCCCGCCTCGAAGGCTGCGCGGCTTTTTGGTAAATTGAGCGGTTGGGAGACAGCGGGGAGTTTCAGCCAGCGTTTTGTTGTTGTCAAGGAGAGAGGGGAGAGAGGAGAGAGGAAACAGGGGTGCGGTTGCCAACTGGACGCTGTGGTGTTGGCTGTGGCGGTCGGTGGGGAGGTTGCGCAAGTGCGCCGCGGCTCGGCAGCACGGCGGCGCAGCGCAGGTAAACGGCAAATGACGGCATCAAAAAACCTGAAGAGCCACCCAAAACGCCTTAGAAAAAGGAAGAAAGAAAGATAGAAAGAGCAAAAAAAGAAGAGGGCAAGAGAGAAAGATAGGTGTAGCGCGGCGCAAATCTGTCGAGCGAAAGTGCCGAAGGAACGGCGAATTAAGGGGTACAGGCGACGCCTGTAACCCCCTGCGCTCTTGAATTCGCGCACGATCAGTATTGCTCTTTGTTGCCCCGTCGAACGGTGGGGTACCCTATGGCAAAGTACGAGTTGATCAGGTGGTCAGCCACGGCGGCAGCTGCGGTGGAGGGGGCAGGTGTACATGTGGATGGTGTGGATACGTGAAGCGAGGCCCGAAAGGGCCAGGCGCGCAGGTCTGCCGCTCGAGCGGCAAATTACGGATCAGCCTTAGCAAAGAAAGAAAAACAGCAAGAGCCAAACGAAAAGGGCAAGAGAGAAAGATAGGTGTAGCGCAAAAAGTTACTCCTTAGCACTTAGCACTTGACTACTTAGCCCTTGACTAAAAAACCCCGGGGCAGGGAAACGAGCCTCAAGAACCACCTAACAAGCCTGAAAGAAGGCCTAGAAAACGAAGAAAGCGCAAGAGAGAGAGGGGGGAGAGGAAGGGGGTGTATGTCCATGTGTGTGTGTGTACATATGTACGTTTACCGTAAGCCCGGCGGTGTAGAGTCCGTAGCTTGGCAGCTTTGCGATCAGAAGACTCATGGGTGAGACAAAAGCGAGCCAGTAACCTGATTCACGAATGCAAGGCAGCTGAATCGATATGTGATTCACACATGGCTTCAGCGCCTCTCTCGCAAGAGGATCACACTGTGCACCCAGTAGGAGGACACAGCGAAACACACTTAGTCACAGGGCTTGCAGTTTCCATAACCCACAGTGACATGGATGTGGGAACGGAAAGGCGCAAAATCGGCTCAAGTGAAGTGTTCAACAATGTTGCGCGCGACTGCGGAAAGCTGCGGCGGCATCGCGGCAAACGCGGCGGAGGGAAATGTTTTGGGGCGGTTCACGAAACAACCATGGAAGCACACCACAGCGCGGGAAAAAGTGGAGTCATATCATCCGCAGGTACGTGAGTCAAGCGTCCTTGTCACAGGAAACGCGCAGCGTCTTCGTTGGTCGTGACTGCGCGAATCCCCAGCGACCCCCTGCATTATTGAATTCGCGCACGCGAAAGAGAATCCTTTGGAACAGGGGGAGACACACACACAGCAGCAACACCAAAGATGCGGCGCAAGCATCAACTGCATTGCAACATGTGACCGGGAACCTTTCCAAACATTGGTCACAAACATGTTGCGCGGGCAGAATTGCATTTGACAATTCACATCCAATGCTAGTTTTTCTGGGATGGGTCGTGTTGTTTGGCATCTCCTTTTTCTTGCCACCAAATCCTTTTGCCTTCATGCTTTGTCCTTTTTTAGAACATTTTTCGTAAAAATTGTGGGACATGTTGGTTTTCCTCAAGGCTTTCCTCAGTGCCCTTCTTGGAGCCACAGGACTCGAGTGCGTGTGTCTGCGCTGTCCTGCTCGTCATTGCATTTCAAGATGATGCCCATTTGCGGGCGAGTGATAGACGTTCCTTTGCCGGTTTCGCGGTTCACAAGGTGCTGCTGTTTTGCTGACCAAACCGCCCATAAAGTGACGTGATTTGTCGGCGCGTTTGTCGTCCTTCGGCGTTTCGGGGATTCTTCACCGAAAACAGTAGATCGCCTTAGTTTAAGCGTGCTTTCCAGTGTGGCTCAATTGGCGGCGACTCTGGACATCAATTTCATGCGACTGGGCAACCGTCGCGAAAAGGAGAAGCGCAAGGAAATCGCACGCATGATCCGATGCCTCCCCCACCCCCGACGAAATCCCGTACCAAAAGAGCGACAGAACTCGCTTCAACCAAAAGTGTACCGGTGTTCGCGGTTGGTCGGGGTAGGCAGGAACACCAACCCTCTCTCCCACCTAGCATTAATGCGTACCTTGTCAGTTTGGACAGCTTGCTGGTAACAGGAGCAGCTGCTCCCTGGTTTAAAGTTTGGTGCTGTGCCACACAGCTTTGGTTGGCATGCCGCTCTATGGAGCAGGCCGACCGAGGCCACACTGGGGGGCCGTAGAGCCCTACCCAGCTTTTGCGTTGGCGAGGCCTAGGCCGAGGCCGAACTTGGGCTTGGACAGGGAGCAATACTTGCTTGAGGGCTGCGAGAAACCGTTACCAGCTGGCATCGAGCTTCCCTTGAAGCAACCAGCTCTTCGCCTGTGCAAGGGTGGTTTGCCAGGCCCTGTGAGAGGTTGCGATGACTTTGCGGCCAAGCAAGCGGTGGCCGTTCTCGCTGAAGTGAGCGCTGATGTTGTTAGGAGTGGTGTAGCCCGTAGTTTTTGGGTCAAGCCGGGCTGCCGCGCCAAATCCTGGGAGGAAGAACAGTGGCAAGCGCTCGCAAGAACTTGGGTTGGCTACCTGCAGCCACTTTTGAACTCCTCGCCGTTCTTCCAAGACTTGGGCGAGTTGGCCGAGGGTTGCTTGATTAGAGTTTTGCGGACAAAGGCAGCCGGTACCTTGCGGCGGCACCTGCCGGGTTTCAAATTATGGGTGGACTTCATCCACGGAACTGACCTGGAGACGCCGTTCGCGCGTGCAGACTTGTTGGTCAATTTCTTTGATTGCGTATAGGCGAAGCACCGTAGCGCGATCGCCCCCTGGCGTTCCCTGAAGTTCGTGGCGGCCTTGCTGGGCTGGGATCGCTTGCTGGCTACCTTAGCAAATCCTGTCGTGGTTGCTTGTTCGGGCGATGCGGCAGAGAGTAAGGAACGCAAGGAAGCTGTACCTTTGCCTTTGTATGCCGTGGCGCGCATGGAGGCTGCAGTGCTCGCTGCCTTGGCTTCGGGTCCACAGCTGGATCCACCTACATTGATGTGTGTGGTGTTCTTGGTTATGCTTTGGGGTGCGCTTCGTTTTTCTGATGCCCAGCGCGTGGCAGTGCCTGAGATGGACTTCGAGCAAGGTATTGTGCGCTGCAGATGTTGGAAGACAAAGTCCTCCAAGGCTTCTATGCCTTGGGGCTGCCTTACTGTGGGTATCTATGATGATTGGACGGCAGCTGTCAAATTGCTGCGAGAAAAGCTTGGAGAGGTCGATGTCCTGATCCCTGGGCCCTTTGGGGGCCGGGCCTCGTTTGCTTATACACAAGCTCAGTTGAGGCGTTTGCTCGTGCGTGTGGCCAAAGTCCCAGAGCATGCGGTTTCCATTTACACTTTGCACAGTCTAAAAGTGACTGGGCTTTGTTGCGGCTTGCAGTTAGACATCGATGGGCGCTGCCGCCGCTTGTGGGGGCATCATCGGGCGCGCGAAGCCGGTGAGGCTATGGTTCAAAAGTATGGGCGTGACGACGTGCTGCCTGCGCTGAGGGCGCAGCTGGTGGTGGCTCGGGCAATACGTGGCGGTTGGTGCCCCTTGACCCCTCAAGCAAGAGGTGCACGCCAGCCTTGCCCTGAGGAAGCTCTGGCGCCGGCGCCATCGGCGCTGCGGGGGGCTCCCTTGGGTCTGGACATCTGTGCCTCGGGTACTTCGGACACAGAGTCTGAGTCGGATGAGAATGAGTCGGAGGCGGAGTCCTCGGTGAGCAGCGTGTGCGGCCAGCAAACCCACGTTTGCAAGAGGACACTTCCGAGGTGACCCACGTCACCGGATCTCCCCAGAGATCCAGATCTCCCACGAGATCGCAGCAGACCCACGTCTGCAAGATGACCCACGTCATCACCGCAAACCCACGTTTGCAAGGGGACCCCCGACCTGGAAGGTGACCCACACCACCGAACTCCCTCGAGATCCCGATCTCCCCCGAGATCCACACGACCCCACGGCCGCGCAAAATCGCGCACACAGCGCCCCACTTTTTGTCACTCCGCACCCAAGAGCAAACCACACGCAGCATGGCTACAAGGTATGAATGCTCCAATGCTAGTTGACGGGTCTTCCGATCGCACCTCCCAATGTGGCTGATGACGTGGGTCATCTTGCAGACGTGGGTCTGCTGTGATCTCGTGGGAGATCTGGATCTCGGGGAGATCCGGTGACGTGGGTCACCTGGAGGACGCTCGTCCGTCGTTTCGGTGTGGGAGGTGTCTCCCCTATTCCTTTCAGCAAGTGCGCTGGGAGTGTTTGTTTGGGCGTGGGCCTTCGTTGTTTGGTTGTCTTGCCTTCCTTTGTCTTTGCTGGCGCGATGTCCGCGATGGACTGCAAGAAGAAATTTCAGGACTTGCTGCAAAAGGTGGGGCTGTGTAGCAAAGTTCAGGAGGAGTTGGCTGCGCGGGGCTTCGCGACTGCCGCGGAGTTGCACTGGACTCTGCAGAGCGGGGCTGAGGAGACGATTGATGCTGTGCTGCAGGCGGCTGGGGTAGATAAGGGCTGTGCGCCTTCTTTGCTTCAGTGCTTGGAAGCGGGCCGCTTGCGGCGTCTCTTGGCTATGTGCACAAAAGTATGCAATGACGCTGGTGATCAGGCGCCAGTGGTTTCCGATGCAGCAGGGACGAGCTTGTTGGGTCTCTCAGTGGGCCCGCAGCTGGATGCGGCTCAGTTGGCAGAGTTGTGGAAGAAGTTTGCGGCGGACTACCCATCAGAGTGCTTGGAAGCGGATGGGCAGCCCTGCAAGCAATTGCTGCAGCAGATCGCGCTCCAAAAGCGGAATGGGGAGTTGAAGTTTATCCCTTGGAAGCAAATCTTGAGCGTTGTGCAATACGATCGTTCCCGCCAGTCCTGCTCCCGCTCTAAGGAGAAGTCTCTCCTGGGCCTTTTGGCGGATGTGACAGGACATGTTGACGCTTTGGAAGCTGACGTGTCTTCCTCCCCCTTCGCTGTGCAGAAGGTTTTGTCGCTGCGCAGTGTGGCGTGGGCGTTGCTGGATTGGTGCCATTTGTCGTCGGGCAAAATGCTTGTCAACAAGTTCATGCTGCTGTATCATCGCGTTGGGTTGGCTGATGTGGGGATGCGCCCCCCAAACCTTGCAGAGGCCGAGTTTGCGGATGCGGAACTCTGCCGTCAACTGCAGGACTTGATGAGCAAGGGCAATGATTTGGACAGGGCTATTTATGAGGCAGTTGTGGTGCGAGACAATTGCGATTGTGGCTGCAGCCGCGCCTCAAAGCTCCAGCAGAGAAGGGAAGGCGTCCTTCCCCGTATGGTGCTGAAACTACAAGCGCTGGCAAGGGTCGTGGCCAAGGCAAGGGCAAAGGCAAAGACAAAGGGGTGAAGCGTGCCAAGGGTCTTTGTTGGAGCTTCCAAGAAGGCAAATGCACTATGCGCGACGAATGCAAGTTTAAGCATCACTGTGATCATTGCGGCTCTGCTGAACATGGGCGGCATGCGTGCGCGAAGCTTTTGCAACTGGCGAAAGAGGATTAGGGGCGTTGCCTCGCTCCCATCATGGAGCAATGCGGGAGCGAGGTAGCAGCAGACCCTGCAGGCTGCCCCTCGCTGCCAGCTGGTAGCGCTCCACCCTGGCAGCCTGCGGCTTTCCGTCAAGATGCGGGCCAGGCTGACGTGGCGGGGGTGGCTCAGCAGCCTGAGAGTGGTTCTCCTGCAGATTATCACCGCATCTTGCTGAAAGACGGGGGTGGTCTGTCGAGCACTCTGGATTGGCAAGTGCCTCCGCCTGGAGCTTTGCGGGACCCATTGTCTGCGGTGCGCAAAGCAATTTGGTCTTCCACGCCGAAAGATGCTTGCTGCCGGGCGGCCGCGCTGTGTGGCAAGACCTTGGAGCATCCGTTCTTTACTGACTCAGAGGTGCATTTGATGCAAGTGGCCGTTTGTTCAGCCTTGGGTATCGATTCGGCTTGGGCATTGGAGTCCTTTGAACTCACTCCGTACAAGTTCAATCTGCTGGAAAGTTTGGCTCTGCGTATGGATGATCCAGATGTTGCTCTGTGCAAAGTGCTTCGGTGCGGGGCGCCTACGGGAGTACGGGAGCCAATCCCTGCATCTGGTGTTTGGCCACCTTGTTCTGGCAAATGGGGTGACGAGGTGGCTGAGGCTTGCGATTTGTTCTGGTGCACCTCCAATCACATTTCTGCAGAACAGGAGCCGGCGAAAGTTCGCGCTTTAGTCCAGAAAGAAGTGGACCTGGGTTATTTGGTACACATTGCAGGGGGATGTCGGCAGTACAACAGCGATTCCCGGATGGTTCTTTGGCAATTGGCAAGCTGGGGCTCGTGACGTGCGCTGGAAAAGAAGACCGGCTCATTGGCGACCCCCGCGCCAGTGGGGCGAGCCCGGCGGCCAGATTCCTTGGCGGGCGGAGGTGCCTTCGCTTTTCTTGTTCACTGCTGCGCTGAACAGGTTCGCCGCTTGGCGAGGTGTGGCGGTGGACCCCAAAGAGTGGGTGTTGTTCAGCGTGGACATCAAGGGGGCTCACAAATCTATTCGTACGGCTGCTGAAGATGTGGGCTTTTCGGTTTTCTCACTTGAAGGAGAATTCTACGCATACGTGGTCAACCACTTCGGGGCCGCGTGGTCGGCGTATTGGTGGTCGAGGCTTTTTGCTTTGCTGTTACGAACCATACACTTCCTGGTGCGCCACCGCCACCTGGGGGCGGTTTATGTGGATGATTTTCTATTCCTCCTGCCGCGGGGGGCGTTCGCGATGCTGGTGGTGCTGGCGCTGGCTATTTTGCAAATCTTGGCTGTGCCATTGTCCTGGCGTAAACTGGCATTGGGTTCCGAGTTGACCTATTTGGGGTGGCAGTTGTCCTTGCATTCTGGTTTCTGGGCGTCCTTGCCGGAAAGCAAGCAAGCGAAGGTGCTTAGGGAGCTGGCTTGGTGGAGGTTGCATCCGCGACGGGTGCCTCGGAAGAAGCTCTCTCAGCTCTTGGGGTTTCTGCTTTGGGCGACTCAAGTGCGACTCGCATTGCGAGCTTTCCTTGCGCCTCTCTTTATCAAGCTGAACAAGCCAGGGTCACGCTTGCAGTGTCTGAGTTTGGGGCAATTAGAAGAGCTGGCCATGATCCTGGGGGACGGGCTGGTAGTCCAGTCTGCTGCTGCAAGAAGCGATATTCAAAAGGGGTGGCGTTTGCACGCTGTGGGTGGCAAGACAGTTGATTGTGTCATCAATGCACGTCGTCTGCTGCAACAGCCCCGAACGATCACGGGCAAGATTTGGGTCCGGTTTTCGGCATGGACTCCCTGTGTGGATCTGGATCCGGTTTCGTTGTCCTCGTTGCACACTTTACAGCGGGTGTTTTGCACCAACAGTTTCTCTTGGGCCGGTGAGAGGGTGGCTGAGGACGCTGCGGCGGATGCCTGGGCCGGGTCTGCCCTCTCAGGCATAGGAGGTTGGTTTCGGGCCTTGGAGTCAAACAAACTGTTTTGGTTCCACCTGGAAATTGAGCAGGGCCAATTACCCGATCTTTGGCAGTGGCCGGAAAAGATGCAAGCAGCTATATGTGCTCTGGAGCTTTTAGCGCAGCTGGCTCTGGTTCTGGCTCGCGCAAAGGTTGATGGGACCGCTCAGTTGCATTGTGTGCGCTTGCGACAATATGGCGACAACATGCCAGTGGTCGCGGCTTGCAGTAAGGGCATGTCCACTGCGCCGCCGCTGTGCTTTGCGCTGATGGCCTTGGCTTTTGCGGCTTTGGAGCTACAAGTGGCCTTGGAGCTGTCCCATGTGGCAGGCGAGCGGAATGAAGAGGCTGACTTGCTAAGTCGTTTGAACCACCCAGAAGCGAAGCCATTGCCCTTGGTCATGAGGGCCAAGTTCCCTGAAGCAAATCGGGCGCGTATAACCTTGGCGGACGTGCTGGCCCCGTGGTACAAGTTCATGCAGCGACCAAGTTCGCTAATTGAATTCGACCGTCCTTAGTTGTCAGTTCCCGTAGTTGCGGTTGCGTAGGCTGCACAGTCACTCAGTTTTTTGGGGGTTTAGTAGGCGCGCCTGTGCAGAAGGGTACCAACAGGCAAGTTTGGGGAGAAGGGAAGCCTGTTGGCAGAGTCCTGCATGGATGGCTTGTC